AGTATGAGTACACACACATTTTACAGTATCGGCCCCGATACCCGATACCAGTATCGGTATCGGTGCATCCCTATTCCAAAGCAAAACATAGAAGTTGAAGATGACTAAAGTAGGCTTTCATAAAATAGCTGCTTATGATACCAGAAAAAGACATTTTAGTTGAACTATAATAGCTTTTGATTGTAGTTTTCTAATTTTGACTCACATATTTCAGCACAAGAATTTTACAGATCAGCAGCTTCCTGTTTATGTAGTATGTTGGAGAATCGGGGGGGAAACATTTTCATGAGCTACATAAAGAAAAATGTGTGTTTTTAACACAAAACTAAACAGATGTTAATGAGGTTTCATCAAATGTTGAGACTGAGAAAGATTTGCTCATTCTGAGCTCGATGCCAGCAAACCAAACTTATAAAAGAAAAAGTTGGAACTTATATGAAGGCTGGAAAGACGTGCAATGCTTAATAAAAAAAAGAAAAAGTAGAAGAAAAGAAAGCACCTCAGCGTGATGGCTTATTACTTAAAGGCATCCGTCTTTTAGCCCTTTAATAAATATAGTGAAGTACACTCACAAAGTGCCAGTGCTTTCATTACCATCTAGATTTCTTTAAAATAGCACCCTGTGCGCCTTCAAAGACTTGGAGTTGAGAGCACTGCTACGCTGTGCCTTAAAGGAAGAAAAGCACCTGTTGGAACATGATTGGATTAAAGAGGCGTCCCGGAGAGACCGTCTTTCATAAGTGAAAATGTGGAGAGGTTTACCACTTTGCGAATGACTGCACAGGCAAACAATTCAGCTATTTTAGAAGAACCTTTCTCAACATAAAATTGCAAAGAATTTGTGGATTTCATCATGTTTGGTACAAAACCTGAACATAACAAATAAAAATAGGGTTGCAAACTATCAATTGATTATGATGGCCAACTACAAAAACAGTTCAAACTCAGGAAAGAAAAACGCTGTGCCTGAGCTTGTTTAACACAGACTAAAGTTAAATGCATGCCTGCGGTCTAAAATTTTAAAGTCATGGATGTTGCATTCTCTTGGTGTCATAATTGACCTTTTTATCAGCATCTGATTGTATAGGCAGTAGGGCTGCCACGATTAGTCGACTATCAAAATCGTCGACGACTGATTTAATAGTCGACGCGTCGTTTGAAGCTTTGTAAGATCCCAAAAGACGCAGGAATAAGTAGTAGGATTTAAGAGTGTAATAACGGACTGAAACAGAAGATGGCAGCACTGCATGTACAAGGATGACAGCTGCCGTAAAACGCAGAAGAAGAAGCTGTGTCCCAGAATTCATAGCGCAGCCCAGCTCAGTTTCCAACAATGGCGGCAGCTAGTTAGTTTTAATATTACTCTTATTATTCTTTCTGGGTCACAAAATAAACGTTGAACATATTTTCAGGCGAGAATGTAGCTGTGTAAACTTCAAATATCTGCTCAGTTTATCAAGACACCACATATTTTCAAAAGCGCTCCGACGTTTTCGGAGACGTTTGTTACCCACTAGCTCGATAGCTAGCCGGGGGCTAGCTTTCATTAGAATTTAATAAACTATCATCTTGTCTTTATTTTTAGTTAGCACATACCTTAAACACTTAAAGCTGTAAGCTAATGATAGTTATATAAGAGCAGATGCTGCTGGTGCAATAAGCTGTACGTTTTACGTCCAATGGATGATGATCTGATTAGTCGACTAATCGCAAAAATAATCTGTGACTAGTCGACTATCAAAATAATCGTTTGTGGCAGCCCTAATAGGCAGGCACTGGTCTACATCTATACCATTACTGCTGAATGATATATGCAGGTTTACTTCAAGACAATATCTTTCTTCATTGAAGACGTATGCCTGACCCAACGTTTTGGAATCTGCTGCTGGCATCAAGTTTAAAATGAGCACAAACTTATGTGACATTTTGTCTTTGGAATCCTGTTAATGAAATCCATGGTTTAAGCAGTTTGAGCATGATAGCATGCTTGCATAACACCAGTGGGTTATTTATAACTCCGAGTCCGAGGCTGACATGAAACCAACAGAAAAGTCATCCTGTAAACATACTGCAGTTGCAGGAACTGCCACATAAACAATTCATGTATTTAATTACCAGTACTTGTAACTAACAAAATCCTTTTTTAAGTTTCTGTTATGTTTAGTTCAGCAGCATGTGTAAGCTCTTTGATCAAGTTGATATTTTCTATGTTTAAATACGATTATTGTTGTAGTTTGAAATAAAAACGTCATCACAAATGTCAAACATTCTCTAGTTTCAGTTTCTTGGTAATCAGAATTTCCATCTTTACTTTTTCCACACCTGACCAGACAATAAGAAAAAGATAAAGCCGATGTTGTAACTGTGGAAAAATCATGAAGAATATGTTACTCTGACAATGTAAATACTCTAAAAAATGTAAGTTAAAAAATCACAACTGCTTTATTTGTTTACATAGCACTAAGGTTCAGTTGATAGACTTTCTAGCACATTACACTGAATGACAGAACAGATATCAGATATCAGAACCACTTATGGTAATTTTATTATTGCTATTAGTATCAAATATGGGGCTTTAGATGTGAATACCTCTACAGTGTTTATATCTGTACTCTCAAACTAAGTGCACGAACTACACGCTGACAAACCCACTTAAAAATATTCCACTGTTACCACTTACAGCGTGCATAAGCACAGTTACACCCTAGTGTGAACTGAAAGGTGTGATTATATTGAAGCCTGAATGATGAGGCCTGTGAGACTGCCTTTACGGTTAAATGCGCTGCCACAAATGTACCATTATAAGTGGGCGAAGAACATGGGATCGGTGTAATGGGATCTTTAAGGGTTTCTTTCCGCCGCCTTTTCTTTAAAGTCCGTTTTAACTGTCTTCAAAGGATGCATTCAAAATATTCATTACATGCCTGATTAATATTCAGTTCTTTCCCTTTGTAGCTACGGCAGAGAAGTTCTTATTCAGCTATAGAATTAAACATTTTAAAGTCTTTTTTAAACTCGAGAGTGGGAGACAGCTCTGATCAGCTGAGCTGTCCATCCAGAACACGCAGAAGTCTGAAGAAAGCTCTGAAATTGAGCTTGACAGTGTTTTTGTCCCAAACAAGCCGCCGTCTAATCAATATGTTAAACAATCATACACTAAGAATGATAAAAAAGGACTCGTTAATTACATGGTTAGTAAGGGGGAGTTAACTGGGGCAAAGGTGCACTGAACCCGTGATGAAATATGAACCGGGGGGGGCAGCGCACAGGCTGCAGTGTGCAGGCGGCTATACTGTAGCTACCGTTGGATGCTGTCAGGTTATGTCACATGCAGTGTCTCTACTTGGCAATGTCAAACACATAAACGCGAAAGGTATTTCTTGAGCTCGAGTCAAGCGAGCACCCGTAGAAATGTGAACGAAGTGTATTACCCTGATGTGCGGGCTGTCGCTAGCTTTGGACGAGATTATTTCGAGCACATCCGCTCGCAGATCCACGAGAAACTTCACTCCCCCCTCGACCCTGCTTATATGACTGAACAGCTGTTTATAACGGGGAGTCAAGGTGTACCGGAGTCTGTCTTCAGCTAGCAAAATGGTCGCCAAGTCCCGTAATTGAGTGTCCAGTAGCTTCAGTGCGAGCTCCGAAACACTTTTGTGGTCCACCCCGAAGTCTTGTGATAGCTTCGTTAGGAAACACAGTTTATCTTCCTTATCGAGACTTTTGTAGAAGTACATGAACTCCAGGCTGTTAGTTTCGGGTGGAGGCGGGGATTTGTCCCTCGTTTCGTAGGAAGGTAAAGGGGCAACGACCCTCGATAGTATCTCCTCCATACCGGAGACACCGCCGCGAATATGTGTAGAGTACCGGCGCCTGCAGCGGACGTCCGAGGCCTCCAGAGCCACTCTGAGCAGAGCCCGGTGTCGCCAGCACCTTACACTGCTCCGGAAAGCCAAAATCACGGGATGGGATGTCATTACCGGGGGGAGGTTAAGCTGTCTGGGACCCACGACCAGTTACCACACACCGGAAATCATTTCCGGGTCTCTTAAAGAGACAGTACAACAAATAAAACGCATTAACCCGGTGTTGTGCCAAAAAGTGATCCTATGGACAGAAGTTCTGCCTATAGTGATCGCCTGCCAAAAACTGATGTCATATGTTTCCGTGTGTTTTTTATATGTGTAATATCTTTACTTATGTTGGTATTCGGTGGACTTCGGTAATCAGGGTTTACAAATGGGTTATATATAAAATATATAAAATACCTGTTTTTCAAGTATCTTTGTAACTCTATGTTATTGTACTTACATTATAACCATTCCAGTCCTTTAACTTTAAATAAGTTTACAGAACTATTATTATATTTGTTGCAATGTCTGCTGTCCTCTTGCCCAGATTATTCTTTAAAAAGACATTTTTAATGTCAACGAGATTTTTTTTTAACTGCGTAAATAAAGGCTGTATAAAAGTCAC